TGCTGCTCGCGGTTATTTAAAGGCTGCTGTGCCTGGTGCACAGCGACATATAGGCAGCCCCGAATCTGAGGACTTTGATGGAAAAGGCGGATACATATCGGGCAAAAAGAGTTTTGTGAACTAGAGAACGGAGGCTCCGGGAGGTAGAAAGGCCAAGGGTGGATTTTCAGTTTGCACCATGAGTTTGCAGTGCTGATGATTAAAAAAGAAAAGAGAAAGAAAGAAAAGGAGCGTCTTTACAAATCTAATCTTTGCTGAAAGCTGTTGGGAAATAATTAAAGTGATGGTTCCCCACAGCGTCCTTTCTAAATGTCTCATTGGAGCGTGATTACAGCGGAGCTCCTGAAAGCGCTGGGCACTGCTGGGCAGCATCATGAGCAAATTCGTTTTCGCCAGCATCGCTCCCGGCGTGCGGAGGAGAAGCAGGAGGTTGTGGGGCAGCTGCAGCGAGGAGGCTTCCGCAGGAGGTTTGTGAAAATCCCTGTCTGGAGAGTCCGCACGGACCAGGGCTGCAAGGCGGCTGATCCCATCTCAGACGTCCCCCGTGCTTGGGTTCTGCCCCAATCTACCTGGCCTCAAACAGGCTGCTTTTGCCTTAACATTTTAGATTATTTAGATGGTGAGACTTTGCCTGACACTTTTTCTTCAAAAATTCCCCTGCAGCGTAGCTACATCGTTGGGGAACAGCAGAAGTAGAAGGTGGCATTAATTCTACGTTCCAGCCAGTGCTTCCATCTATTAGATTGAGAGAAAATCTGAAATAAAAAGATTATGGGGTCTTAAATTCTTATTCTGAAAAAACCTGAGTTAAATTCGGGATTATTTTCGTGTGGAGCGTAAAGTAATTGAAGCTTGTGCTGTATATTTTCAAAACTAAGCAGATGTGATGTAGCTTTGGAGGAAGTTTAATCTATGGATAACAGAGAACCTATTTGTAAGTTGTAAGGGCAATTATGTCTGGATATCAGATTTCTAAACAGCAGATTTATAACCTGTAGTTGAGGCAGTTAGAAGTTTCCTTGTATAATAGGCTGATTTTTAAATACTTGGGTTAATGACCTGGCTCTCTAGAACAGCACAAAACTTTCTATTTTTCAGCTACATGCCAGCAAGAGTCGGGGATGTCTAGCATATGCTCAGTACCTTGCGGGCTTAATTTGTTTAAAACCAGAAGTATTTTAAGAAATGCAGACAGTAGGCTCCTTTGAGTTATGGTTCCATTGCACTAAGGGCTATTCTTAGACCTCATGCAAGGCAAGCACCAGAGAATTACGTAGGTTTGCTGGAGGGCGTCTTATAGATACGCCGTGGAGGTGAGAGAGAGATGTGGGGAAACGGGGCTGAACTGCATCGGCCGCAGCCCCGAGAGGCTGGAGAGCCTCTGTCCTTGGGTCCTCTAGGGCTGGGCGAGTTGCTGACGGTCCCGTAGCAGCGGGGGACTGGGCTCGAAGTCTACAGGTCCCATCCAGCCTCTGCTTATCGCTCCTGTGGGTCACTCGGTTCATCTAGGGAGCTCGTAAAGGCTTTGGGGAGAGGCAACGCGCCCTCCTGTGCTGCCTGTGGCATCGTTGTTGTTGCTCGCAGTTATTGAATAAATAATACAGCTATTTGGCCTTGGTTCCCAGCGTGTCAGGCATGCTGAAGTATTTATCAGTATGCCCATTTTCGTTCCCTGGTGTACTCTAATGTTCTCAGGTCTCTCCCTTTTCTGAAGCCCAGCCGTTGAAGAGCCTCCTTCGCAGCCTGCAGTCAAATTCCCACAGTCCTAAATGTAAAATATAATCTTATGGTTTACTGGTGAAAGTAGTGTGGGTTGTCAAAGAAAACAGTCTCTCTCCTTAGAGCTCCTCAGTAACTTAATAATGCCATGTTGCAGTTACCAAGGGCATAAAAGTCTGCAACAACCAGGCAAATTTGGATAACTTCAGGCTGTGGCAGTTTCTGTCTCCAAACCAGTAATAAAAGAGAGCAGCAGAAATCAGCAAACATCTGGACTTGGGAAAGGCCTTTGGTTAGTGCTGAGGGTGGCATCCTGCCTCCGTCTGAGCCCCAGGCTGCCAGGTTCCTGGGTTTGGTGGAGAACAGAACCGTCCTGCATCAAGCGAGAGCCCGGCCCTTCTGGTACTGCTGGGCTGCTCAGGTTGGGTGGTTAGAAGCAGCTGTTGATGATTGATTTGTCCTCTGATAGCAGCTGGAGCCGCTGAGCGGAACGCGAGGGGGACGCTGATCTGCGTCTTTGCTGCATCTGGGGTTTTGGTTTAACGTTACCCTGTTGTTGTCCGTTTGCCTGAACAGCTGCTCCGGTTTTGGAGGGTTGCTTTAACAGCAGCTTTAATTCCCCCTCGCTACCCAGGGCCCTGCAAACCTCGGTAATGCAAAGCCCCCATCTGTGTATGTGGGACGGGATGGGACAGCAGCCTCCCATCTGTCAGGGGACACGATCCTGCCTCCTCTGCTCAGCCCTTGCCTCCCCCCAGACCCTCTCCCGCCTCCCAAGACT